TCAGTTTGTTTGTTCTGCTTTCTCGGCCATTCACAGCCCCACCCTAGTAAGGAGAAAAGGGGGCAGGGTGCACTTTCCACAGCTTTCTCCATGTGCAAAACAACATAACCAACAAAATACAAAAAGTTATCAGCGTCTCTCTTCTGCTTTTTCCTATAAGCAGCAAGGAGCAACAAAAGGGAGATAACTTCAGGCACCCCATGAAAAATATTCTAAAAATAGCAAATACACCTCTTTTCATTCACAGTTGTTTCAGGCTGCAAAATCCAAAGTGACTATTAAAATATTTCCATCAGAATATTTCTCCTATTTCAATGTATTTCTTATATATATATATATATTTCAATCAGGAAGAGTTATGGCTACAGGCTGTACTTGGAAACTTGGCCTTCAGAGGAAGCCCTACTAACTAGAACCTGGTACCTGTCTTTCAGGGAGCCTCTATGCAGGATAGTGTGAGCAGCATCCCAGTCCACCTCAACTCCTCCTTTCCAGATAAGCCCCTCTGATCTGAAATAACAAATTTCCTTGGTCAGTGAGCCGAATTTTTGTGGGTGTTTTGTTCTGGACCTCTGTGTTCCTATGAGTCGCAGTACCCCTCCCTGTGCTAGGGTGGCTGTGTAGTCCAAGATAACCAGTGCTTGAATTTATTTTCATCCCAAGACAAAAAGCACCTGCCTTGCACACTTATTTGTGTTTCCACAAAACATCACCACCCTCACAGGATGAGTCTGGTTTTCTTGGGAGCTAGGATGGAAATCAAGGCAGTAAAGGTCAGTAGTGCACCCCTTTTCCTCCCTAAGACTGCCTGTTGTACCATAAGTTGGCAGCAGTCACATCAGCTGAACGCAGAAGAAGGTATCTGCTGTTGTGGTTTAAGGCCACAACATCTGTCAACACATTAGGGAGAAATAAATCGTTTAGCAAGCTTTTCAAGTATCCTAGGCTGCACAAGACCTGTAGGTAAAGAACACGTCTGAGGAATTGCTAAGGGCCTGACAGGGAAAGGCAATGCCACAGGTTCTCTCTCAGCAAGACACATGGCCCCTGGCAGGGCAAGGATTGCTCCCACCCACAGCCCCCCCTTGTTCCTCAGGCATAGAGTCAAAATTAAGCCACAGCCTGCAATCACACTGTGAAGCCAGGCAGGGGATGTGAAAGAGACCACATGTGCATGCAGGTCAGGAAAGTTCTCTGAAGGCTTTCTGGAACAAAAAGAAGCCAAAATCTAACAGGTGCTGTGCTCAGCCCACCCTTTTTTATTCCAGAGGAGATTTACATTAGATACAAGGCAGAAATTCTTCACTATGAGGGTGGTAAGGCACTGGCACAGGTTGCCCAGAGAAGTTGTGAATGCTCCATCCCTGCCAGTGTTCAAGGCCAGGTTGGATGGGGCTTTGAGCACAACCTAGTCTAGGGGAAGGTGTCCCTGCCCATGGCAGGGGGGTTAGAACTAGCTGATCTTAAGGTCCCTTCCAACCCAAACCATTCTATGATTCTTACTCATGAGGAGGTAGAGGCTAAAAAAAAAGTTTAGAACAAAATCAAACAAAAAACCCAACCAACCAAAAAAAACCCCACAAGAACTAAACCCAAACCAAACCAAAACCAAACATCACAAAACACACAACCCTTGCTGAAAGGCACAAGATACAAATAATGAATTTGAAAAGAAAACTCTTCCTGACCTCCCCCCACTTCCCCACAGGTCCAGCTACAGAAAATATCCTCGAAGGGAGTGAAATAGCTTTTCCCTGTGTAAAATGGCCCTGAAAAGCAACCTGCTCTGTCATTGTCTTCATCTCCCAGAATTTAAACTTTGAGCTCTCCATTTCCATGAGCTGCAGGTTGCTGGGTATCATGTTGCACCATGCATTGTAAAGACCCGTAAGTGCTCAGTGAAAAGCTTACAGTTTTTTTAAGTGTCAGTTGGTCTGTGATTTTATCTATTAAGCTATTGTGTTCAGGGGAACCCACAAGCCAGGCATGGACCATAAGAACAGGCACTTAACAGATACAGGTTTGTCCTGTTTTCCTACTTCCTACCACCCTGCCCCCTACAAACGACTAACACACTACTAAAATACCCAGGGCAAAAGGTGAACAACAGTCTGTGGGCTCCAACCTGCTGGGAGCAACACAAATGTTATCAGGTGCTTACCAGACTATGTCCTGCCCTTAGCTCCATGAAGGGACCCCACCTCCCTCTTTGGCTATTTTTGGCATCAGTCACCCTTCAGGCACCTCTTCCTCCTCCACTACTCCTCTGTTGTGGAGCTGGAAGAAAACCGAGAGATCAGCTACTTTTACTCAAATGATAACAGCATCCACCCTTCCCTCCTGTGCTTATGCATCTCCCCACTTTCCTAGCTCATGCCTCAGCAATTTCAGTTGGCTAAAAGCTAAGGGTCAGTCTCTGCCTTCAGGCTGAGGTTGGCCCAATTTCTGCAGATGGCTCCATCTCCACCATGGGGATAACAAAGCCACTTTTTTGCTACCCATTAAGATAAGTAGTTATCTCTTTTCAAAGGAAACTGCTGGAGTCGGACTGTAAATGGTGAGCATTGCTGCTAGAAACCTTGTGAAAATTCATAAGGATCTACTCAGCTCTTTTAATAGCTCTGGCATAAAATTCAGATAACAGTCAAAGGACCGTTTTCTTTTATTGTAGTACTGTCAATTCTAACACTTCCCGTCTCTACTTTAAAAACAGCCCCTTGAAAAAAACACTGCCCCTAGAATAAACTTTCATTTATCTTTCAAGAGCTGTCCAAAATCCTCAAAGAATAACACCTTACTATGCTGTGTCTAATTGAAGACCAGATGCGGTTGAAGTCATCAATGCCCCATACAAGTACAGGTGTCTGTGTGCATAAAACATGCTTTATCAGCTCCTTACCTGCAAGCTCTTTGGACCAGGACAATTCTCACCTGTGAGGTGCATTGCAAACACAGGTATTTATAAAAAGCAAAATCTCATTTCTGGATAGACATTCTACTCATGATAGGATAAATTGTAAAATTTTTATTGCAAAATATTAAAATAAATTACATTTTACAAAGACTTAGCAAATATTTACATACAGTGTGATTCCAGTGACAATCAGCAACAAAGAACAGACAGACGGGCATATTATGGAGTGAGAGGAGTCAGAACTGTACAAACTTCAAAAGCCATATGAAAGACAAGCTAATTTTTTAAAAGGTAAATGCATCACAAATGGAACGAATCCCACGAGGCACAAAAATTATAAGTCTATAATAAAATTTCTTCGGGTTTTTTTGAGGTCAACAGACTTTTATATTGTTTTTTTTGCTTTCCTCATCAATGACGCTTCTCTGTCACTACACATATTTTCCCAGATCAACTGGAAAAAACAATAAAATCAAAATCTCAATATATACAACTGTGTCACCATGGATCTGCTATCAATCTGGTTTTATTTCTGCATGCTTTGTGACATCCATTGCCAGCAACAGATTCATAAACCATTCAAAACGATTAAAAAAAATTTAACACGCCACTTTCTGTATTTCCTCAGTGATTTCGTACCAGTGTCTGCCTGATGTGAGATACGCATCTGAAAATTATGCCCCCCTGGTAATAATAAGCTTCAATAGCAGAAGACAATCAAGAATTGCCACAATGAAGTAAAGACGGATGGGGTCGCAGTCTATAGCACATAACACTTAAGAGGGCTTTTGTAGGGACAGATTTTTGTTGTCAAATTTCAACTTTTTTTTTTTTTTTAAAGCACTGGCTCATCTTGGCAATGTGAGTACGTTTATATTGTGAAAGCAGACCCACGCTTCACATGATGTGACTGAAAATGCAATCTACTTGTAGGCAATAGCTAGAAAGAAGAGTTTCCACTTCTATTCACTCCCTTCCTTATATGTGCTTTTAGGTTTAGGGATTATACTTTTTTTTTTTTCCCCACCTTCTTTTTTAAAAATCCCCTTTCCCCTCTTTCCGGGAGGAGATGTGTCTCAGCTATAAAACCAATTCCATAGCTTTAAGACAGCTGTTAACATTATCAGTTAACCAAACAAAATCTTACATGGCATCTGAAGAAAATGTTTCCAGATGGACCAGGTAATTGAAATAACTAAAAGACTTTACCAAGTAGCATGGGGGAATTCACTCACAGGCACTTTTGGGGCTGAACAACTCAGAATCCAGCCTGGATATCCCTCTAACTCACTTCAGAACATATAAATCTGAAGGCAGAAAGACATTAATTTGGATCCACCAGGCAGCTGGTTTTCTCAAGATATGGAAGACAGGCAGGCAAAAAGCTGTCTTGCTTAGCACTTCGGCAAATCTGAGATGGCACCATAATCTGGAATGGTTCAACTTCTTGGAGAGAACCAGTGTGAAAGCTATGCACCAACTAAACCCTCCGAAACACTGAAAACAAGTTGGGCTTAACGAGACCAATTGTGATGGCCCCTGTGTAAAGAGGAATTTTTTTCCCAGTGTTAGGATTACATTAAGGCACATGGTGGGATGTCTTGAGAACAGTTTTGTGAGGTGTGATCATGTTTCCCAAAAAAGCGGGAATATTGTACTTTGTTTTAATAAATTTAAACTATTACTTTAAATCCCATGATACTTACTATGCAGACTTAGAGTTTATGCTGACTACACTGGGAAAGGCCAGAGAACCACATCTAACTTGATAATATGAAACAGATCCCATCCATTCTCAGCTCTGGCATACAAGTGCCCTTTGCTACAGAGAATGCAGAGTCTGGGTTGCAGTGTGCAACATCCTCTCCCAGTCAAAGCAGCCCAGCCAAGTGTCTGGGTTGTATTATTTCTGTATTAAAGAGAGGTTTTATTTTTTTTATGGAGAATGGAGAATGCTTATCCATTTCATGTACTTTCAGCAATCCTCTCCTCACTGTCTTGTAGCTTTCTAACTGTGCCTAAACTTTTGATCTTTGCATCAGTAATGGAAGACAAGTTGGAGAACAACAAAAACTATATGGAGTGCTTTCTCATTTTCTCTGAAGTTAATGTATACTTTTTAAAAAAAAAAAAAAGAGAGGGCTGGACTTGCTACACAAGTATCATGTGTATAATGCATGTAGTCTTACCTACCATTTCTTACAGTTACAAGCTGTTAACCACAATCCTTCAGTTATACAGAAACACTTGAAGGGCTTGGGAGTAATTTTTAAATGATAGGGGTGTGGGTGTCTTTTAGAAATAAAACAGAATCTTCTCAGTGTGGCCTCTCCCTCTTTCCTGTCAGATACAAACCAAATTCATCCAGCCACCCCTGCTTCAAATAGCAGTAATATAATAAAATTTAATTTCAAATTATAATCTTTGTTCAGTGATATTATCATAAAATACAGATTAAGTACCAAATCCAATGACGTTGACTCCACATTTTTGCCATTATAACAGAGGTGGCCTAGTGTTCAACTTCTGTTTGAAAGAAAAAATATTATATACATGAAAAATTCTGAAAAGATGACTGGTAAAGACAGTCCCTTGTTTCACAGTAAATGACTTCAAATCTTCCCCATCAACAGGCTGTCCAACCAGAGTGTCAGTTTCCCATATGTCCTTCTCCCCCTTCTTTTGAGGAGGCTAGCAACTGAAGCTGCAGCCAATATTTGCAGTTATTAGAAATAGCTAGTAATTCAAGATTAGCATTGCAAGATTCCATAAGCTCTTCTTACAAAGCTAGCGAGTCTGCCAGCATTCTGAAAATGAGAATGAGAACTTTTAACTGTTCGCTGAACTTCAGAAACTTTTGGACATACTAGAATGACTTAAATACTGTAAAACAGAACAACAGAACTTAACATATTAAGGTTCAAAGGTCTTGGCTATTTTCTGTTCCAAGTATACTGGATACAACTGAAGTCAGTACAGTACCTTTTGCCAACATGTAATCAAGAGCCTCATTTGAAAGAGTTGTCGGGGTCAATACATAGATATGGAAAAACAAAAATAAAGCCATGGTATAATTTTCTTTCTAGCCAAAACAATTTGGGCAGAAGTGTTATAAAGAGACATACTTCCTTCTCAAAGCCCATCTCCAAGCCAAAAAATAATACTTTCAGGAGCTTAGAGTCAAAGTTCCTTTCAAAAACTGCCTTATGGCCTTAAGTCACTAGATCACCTCTCAGTTTTTCAAAGATTTGGCATTGCCCAACCTTCTTGAAAGTGGAATAGAATAACCATTGTATATGCAACTTTGAAACAAAGCAAATAAGCAAAGTGTAATCAACTGTTTCAAAAAAAATCATCTGTCATTCAAGTCTAGTGTGAAGTACCAAGGCAGGGAGGAAGGGAGGAAACACAAAAGAATACTGACTATCGCACTGCACAGATCAGCAGCAGCGCTACAGGTCCCTTCTGATAGGCATTAGGGCATTTGGAGATATCTGTGCCTCCCAATGTGATTTTGTCCTCAAAACAGGGTCAATACAACTTCACCTGTACATAGATAATATATAAGGTTCATTCAAGTATTTCCTCTAGGAAATGGACAGTGGAAGGACACTTACACATTAAAAAAGTTCATTGCATCCTGCATATGCTCATACATGCTTTGATCAATAGGTCTTCCAGTCACTTTACTTGTTAACTGTTCTAGGGCTGATACGCTGTTTAGCAGCCCAATTGGTGAGCTTCATCCCAGGTGATTCTTCTGTGTTAGAAGGCTCCTTCTCAATCCACTCCTTTGGAATTTTTAATTTTAATATTTTATTTATGAAATTACAGTTCACTATAATTTGACAAACACTGACATATTCTAGACAGATGTTTCAGAAGCTTTCTTCTCAGTCTGCCAGCATACCTCAGCTCAGATCTGTGTCCTGGTATTTCATCTGAAGTTTCTCATTAAGTACAACTAGTGGTTGCACCATTTTATTTGTGGTAACAACTTAACAGTGGGAAACTTGGGAGGGTTGGGGGGGAAAGCAAACACCTAGTTTTCATTTGTGATCAAAGCAGGATTCAAATCTAGGTTTTCAGAGTTGAAAGGCTAATGGAGTAACCGAACACATTTGATGCCTGGAACAGTCTCCTTGCAACAGTACAGTTACACTCCCAAACTACTTCCTCAATGAAATGCATAAACGTAGAGCAGGTCCAGTGTATTAACTAGTCTTTTCTTTTCTACCTTGTTCAAGAACCATAAAATCCCAAGAAGAAGCAGAACTCCAAATTCAACTGTTATTTTACAAGTTTTTCAGATAAGCAAAGCTGACTGGCTCAGAAATCAACTTAGGATGGGAAAAGGACACTGGAGCTTATTAGTTTGGAACTTGCATTTGTTTCCAAAGAGACAGGAGAAGCTGCAAAAACATGCTTTTCTCCTTGTTCCATTAATTTTTTTCAATAAGCACTGACCACTTTCAGAAAACCATTGTCAAAAATGCTTCACGTTGCAGCCTTCACGTTGCTTACTGTATTATATTCATTCATCAGTTGTTCGTAAGGCACAGAAAGTTCTAGCTCATTATTGGTAAAGGTAGATTCATCAGAGGATGGGAATTTTACCAGTTTTTTTGCAGTTTCAGATTCCTCTGCAAGATTATCATCCATGGAGGATTTTGAGGTTTCCTCATCATCAGAGATATCGTCCTCTTCATCATCGTCTTCATTTACAAATGTTATATTGGCATTTTCAAATATTAAGGGTCGATAGTCTCTGGAATCCCATACTTCACCTTCTTCTTCACTAATCCTGTCCAGCTGGTTTACAAACATGGTTCCTTCTAGAGGACTGTCTCCAATACGTTTATCATGCATGGGTCTCAGTACATGACCATTTTGAATGTCCAGGGAAGCCTCATCATACTCAAATGACTCTGTCTTTGTGTAAGTCACCTGGGCATCTATACTGGCATTCTGCATATTTTGTTTGGAATTTTCTACTTTAATAATTTTGTCATTGCTTGTTTTCAGGGCTTTCTTCCCAATTTGTTTAATAAGATCATTGTAGGTCTCTTCCTTCTTTGAAAGGAAGCTGAAAATGTTGACATCCTTTGAGGTACCCATTTGAAGGGGTTTTTTAGACCGAGGATGGCTGTCAAATGACTCTTTCCTTTTTTTCCTCCGTTTCTTGATTGCTTTATGGACTTCCACAAACATACTGACCTTCCAGTTAACAAATAGTGAAAGCCAAGCTAGTCCCAGATAGATCCATAACTCCACAAAATATCTGTAAAGGGCGTGATAGTTTGCATCTGGATTTACACCTACAAAGAATTGAAAACAAGAACATTACTGAAAGAGGACTCACAGCTGATAAACCTTTGAAGCTATGACCCTGAGAACTACTCCTTTCTACACTAACAGAGCCTTGTTTGAACACTGCTCTGAGAGGTGGTAAACAGGGTTCTGAAACCCTTCTGAAAGAAAAAATTGGTCCCGGGTTTTCCACTTCCTGGCTGTGTGTATTCTGGCCACTGGACTAAAACAAAATGGCAGAATATTTATCCTCCCTTTGTAAACTATGAAAATGAACTTTTTCCCTGTTTGAAAATTATAAGCCTTCTCCTTGCCACTGTGGTATGGATATAAGTACCTTCCGTAAGAAAAGGATTCATATTACAAGGACCATCTCCAAAGCCCTTACCACTACAGTGGATTCAGGAGGGAGATACCAGCATACTTAACATTTCCTGTTACTAGTTCTAGACAGCTGCAGAGAGCATTGCCCAGTACTTATGCAATCTGCTTAGTAAACTGGATCCCATTCAAAGGTGCTTAACTATCATGGTGGCTAGGATAGGTCCTTGTCTGAAATAGGGACCTGGGGCGCCTATTGTTGTGAACTCCAGACTTAGCCCAATAAAGGCATTAAGTATCTAAACAAAGATTGAAGAGCCAAGATTCAGTCCACTAGATCAGTACGTGGCATTAATTGGACCTTCTATTCAGCAAAATGTTTTGGGAAAGCACCTTTTCTAATTAGAGTTTGGCAACAGAATTGCTACACTATATGTACGTAGTGAAATAACACATAAAATATAATTACTGACCAGCAACAAAATCTCCAAATCCTATGGTGGTGATGGTGATGAATGAGAAATAGAGGCCTTCAATGTAATCCCATCCTTCAGTTACCATAAAGACAAAGGGAGGAATAACCAGATGGACCAAGACACCCCAAACAATGAAAATAGCTGTGCATGTAATTTGAGCTTTCCTCTGGAAAAAAAAAAAAAAAAAAGGGAAAATAAGAAGTCAGGGAAAGATCGCCAGATTTTCTTTTCCCATCCATGGCATCAAGCATCATCTGACAAAAACTGACAAAAAGGGGTTTTCTCCCTTACGCAGGACTCACTATTATTATAACTACTTGCTCAAATAGGATTATTTCCTTCACATTCTTGAAAAGCTTAAGGAGTTCCTGATATTTTATAAATAGGCATGGGATACAGACATAGCACTCTAGTCTAAAAAGCAGTCAGTACCTCTGATTTTCCCTTTATTCATTTGAGCAGAAGTTCAGAAGTTTTTAAGATGCTTCTCTCCTATTTATGTCTCCTACCCTTTGCCACTCACGCAACCTCTGCACAAAGCTGCACTCACCATCCTTTCTGTACTTTCACCAGAAAAGGATGCATTTCACCATCTTTTTCAGTAATTTCTCCTCAGGTGCTGAACAAAGAATGTAGTGTTCTTGCTTCGTTTCTGAAACCAGGACCTAAACCAGTCTCATAGCTGTTCAGGCACTATGGCCCTGCATTGACTTGCATCTCCACGCAGAGTTAGAATGTACTTATTAGTGGGGGAAAGGGAGGGAGGATGGGGAAGTCAGACAGTCACATCCAAGACACCACCAAAAGAACAACAAAAAGCCACAAAAAAAAAACAAGAAGCCAGTAACTCATAACAAAACATTATTTTCCAGATATTTCACTACACAGAAAGTTCTCATACTAGCATAGAAGCATGTGGGAACAAAGCAGGACAGCTTATTTCTGTGCCAGGGGAACTTTCACGAAATACCTGTGAAGTGGAGCCTTACCTATGTTTGTCCTGCAAGTTACTAATGTAAGGAGATACATGTTTCCATAGAAGCTACAAGATCTATATCTAGTATCAAAGGTTTCTGCAATATCTTATTTTGTTAAAATTTCTTGCAGAACTAACTTATCAGACCAAATCCCATTTTCAGTTGTTTATATGTAACACCATTTGGGAAAATACGCATTTGTGCAAGTGTTCATTTACTAAGATTAGCAAGCAAGTTAAGAAGTGTAAGCTTAATTCATACATCAAAAATACACAGCACAAGGGTAAACAAGCAAAGGCCTTCCTTACCAGGCTTACTCCTCTTTTTGTCAGAAACTGGCCCAGCCTCTTGGCACGTCCTCCAAAGAACTTCCCCAAAGCACTGATCCATGTCAAGCAGAGAGGAACTCCAAAAAGCCCATAAAATATGCAGAAGAGACGCCCAGAGGGTGTCTTTGGAGAAACATTTCCGTAACCTAAGAGAGATAAGTTTGTGCACGGTCTGTTCTTGTTGCAGAGAATTCAAGGCAATTCTACCTATGCACAAAATAACATTGCGTGGGCTTCTGCTGTATCAGACGCTCCCTACTTCACCATCTATAAGAGCTTTAGTTGACTCCAGCTGTTGATCTTCTGAATTTGGATGCCTTCCAATTCTACTCTAGCAAACATATCTTCCATTAATGCAAGCTGAGAGTATTACTGCATTTTAAATGCTTCCTAGATTTTATGCATCTTTGCTCTTTGCAATATGAGATAAATACGATACAAAGCTCATCTCAAAACTTCTAATATGATTGTCCAACCTTAATCAGCACTGTTAAGAGCTTGACTGATTCAAATTTAAAGAAGAAAACCTCAAAACTCATCCTGAAGCTAGGTTCTACATGAAAGATTCACTTTGCACATTTAACCTGTGACCTGGTACTTTTCCAGGGTAAGGGTTTGAGAGTTTTAAGTGCATGGTGAGCTGTGACATAGAAAGATATTTCAACTGAATTTAGGTCTTTGCTGGTCACAGAATCCAAAAGAGACAAACTCAAACTCTAAATCAGCAGCCTATTTTCTGAACGTCTGCCAAAGCTTTCTTATTTATGGGTGTTTTCTGACTTCAAGCTTTTGCCATAAATTATACTATAAGCTAGGTATTACAAGTTTCAAATAATAAAGAAAACCACAGTACTGTATATGGTTTAACAGTAAGACTTCCATTTCTATACACCTCCAGCCTTTTCTGGTTATTTTGCATTCCTGGGGGATTTTTTTGTACTGTAGGTGTACACCCTTGCTGGGTGCAGCAATACCATGTAGGAAATATTCTTCTGTAAAAGCAGAAGGGTGATGATGTTGAGCTCTGAAAAATCTGCATATCAAAGGAGGAAGAAGTCCTTCAGTGCAGAGGGTTTTACAAGCACCAATCAGTAGTGGAATTTAGAGGAGAACACTTGTTACACTTTGTTTTCTTTGATAGATACAAAGTCTAAATTGTCCTGCAGACCAAGAACACTTCAGTAGCTTAAAAGGATGCACCTGAGTAACAGTACAGCTATACAAACACCTCATACGCACATGCTTCAAGTAGTAGTTTAATGGAATGCTTTGTAATGCTTTCATTTGGGGATGTAATGATTTGGAAATCTAAGTGCATGAATTAAGGGAATTGGAATGACACCAGTCTTCCCCAACACCACCTTGAATCCATTCCTTATTGGAAAAGCACACATTTCTACATACCCATGGAGAGAGTTCCTCTGAGTTTTTTTCCTCTATGAACCTGCAGGTGAACACATACTCTAGGCAGCTCCAGCCATGGGGACTTTATTCAGTGGCTAGCTTGGCACATAAATGGGAGAGTATACACAAACTAGAGCAGATAGAAAACTAGTTAGGGAAGTTGACATAATAAATACTTACCAATTGTAGTGATCACAGTAGCAGCAAAGATAACAGCATTAGGCCAATTCCAGTTGTTAAAAGTGTTGTTCCCAGTGATGGCAACTCCCTGTCCAGCAGCATTTGACACAACCTGCAAGAAAACTCTTTATAGTCAGTCAATCTAGGAAAATCCTAGCAGCCTCAAAAAAAAAAAAAAAAAATTAAAAAAAAAAATTGTCTGTCCCTCTCAGGTTTTCCACCATTGTTCATACTTTCAAAATAATCACTGAAGTTCTTTGTGAATGCTAGCCTAGTATATTTGCTAACAATAATGCAATGAAAAATTAAAACTTGCTTCACCTAAGAAAAAGTAGTGCAGGTGCTATGGCATTCAAATACAGGGGTTTAATTAGGTAAGATGTTACTTGATTTACCAGTTTAACCCAAATGGAACTCTTCCAGAGACAAAACACACTCCTCCAGACTGAACTAGCATTTAACTACAAGTGCAGTTCTTGAATTTCGTTTAATATTAGGGACTTCATCAGAACTACTATCAATTTCAAAACACTGTTACATGCCCCAGCTTGATTTGGGTATGAGCAGGACATCACAGAATCCTTAGCAAAGCTAGCATGATTAATGTTAATTCACCTGCTGTCTTTGGTAAAGTCAAACCATCTACAAGCCACTGTGAATCTCCAGTTCTCAGCAAAGACAGAAAAATTAAGACTTTTCCACAGTATTTCGTGCAACAGGACGACAATCATTGCCCTTGAATCAGGCCCCTTTTTTTATCCCATCTTTGAACCCTAGTATGCCATGATGAATGTAAACCATTTGATTACAATGTTTTGGGGAAGCAAGTATAGTTACTGGCATTTCCAGATTCAGCAAGTCAATTTTTTTTTAACGTCTTTTCAGGTCTTCAAGTGCTCAAGCATTATTAACCATCTTCATCTTTTGTAGAAAGGGACTTGGAAGACCCACAGCCTTCCCTACCTTTCCAGACTTAGACTGCAGAAATCTCTTTGATTTAAAAGAAAAATTAATGACTACTCAGTACAGAGAGTCAAAGTTTCAGATCAAAATCATGTACCTTGCTGACTCCGACATGTATTTCTGCTTCCCTGAAGTAAAAGAGACAAATGATTTATCATGTTCTCTCCTAAGGTCTGTTAACATTGTGATGCAGTTAAAGCCTTCTCAGGTTACTCTGCTTTTTTACCTCCAGTATAAACCAAGACTGCCTGAACAAAACTCTGAGGCTACATCCATATACAGGAGAGGTGATGATATTTCCTAAAGTTGATTCATAACATTATCCAACTTCCCTCAGTAAGTGCTGGAAAAACTATCTTTAGCTAAATACCTAAAATTGGAGACAATATACATTTTTTAGTAAACATGACAGGTGAAGTTTCTGCTAAACTGGTAAGAACTTCAGAGGTCCTACAACCAACTGTTCCTTCTCTTATCATCCCTTCCTTCCTTCCTACTTGATTAAGATCTGATCTTGGACCCAGCAGAGACTCAACACAAAGTTCAATCACTATGGAAAACATACACAAGTTAACACAGGTTTTAATTATTCTTGAGACTTATTATATATCACCACACTGCTGCTGTAATAAAAATACCCTCAAAGTAAATGTATTGTGCATATACAAGATGCAAACAATTTAATTAAAAATGCACTTTCAACACACAAGCAGAAGATAAAAGGAGAAGCACTGAAAGTAACTGAAGGTTCAAAGCTAGATTTTTCTCCTGGTAAACTTCATGCAGTACCTTTCCATAGCCTACAGGCTCTGGATAGAAAAGGATAGAGTACTCACCAAGGCAGTCATTTGTCCTAAGTAAGTAGTTGCTGAAATGAGAAGTAGCCCTACAATGGGCAGCTTGAGAGCAGGCAAGTAAATACACAACACCACCAAAAAAAATATTTGAGGCAGGTACAATGGATCACAAGAGTTCGTCTAAGTAGAGATCAATCAAAGTAACTTCATCCGTTTCTGCTAGGGTCTGCAGATGAACTTACTAGAAGTCCCAAAGGACACTCAAAGTACCTGACAGGTACAATCTGTGATCTATTATCCCTGAAAAGATGCCTTGACTTCTGATGCTGACCAGAATTTAATGCAATACTGTGTTAAATGTTATATCAAACACCAGTTCTCCAGTCATTTTCCACTCAATAAGCACACTTGGATATTTTTTTATTATTCCTTCCTCACAAAGCAACTGATCTCATAAGACAGGCACTGAAGTATCCGTTTCCATTATCACTGTGCTGTTATTTCATTGCAATACTCCACCTTCATTCTGAGCATTACTTCCCGGTATGTACACTTACACTAAAATCCACCAGGTCCGGAGGCATGAAGGGGGCTCAGACGCAAGAGGAAGAAGCTGCTGGACTGCAGCACAGAGCTGCCCTTCATACCCAGGCAGTTAACATTTTGGGGTGAGAGACAGCCACGTATCTGTGTTACAAAAACACTTCATATAGAGAATCACATACTCTCCAGCCAAAGCTGCCACCCTCTTCCTGTCCCTATTTACACACAGGTATCTGCTATTAGCACACAAACATCTGTGATCTGCAGTCTAGTATTTTAAGTTACCTTATGACTACAATAAGCCTGGATGCACTATATGCATACCAGTTGCAGGAATAAAGATGGTCACAAAACATGCTTTAGATAGCTTTGGCGCAGTGGGAAATACGCATTTGTTTTCCAAGCAGGCAATGTCAGATATGCCTTTATTTTCATATGCCAGGATACAGACTGCCCCAAGTTGCCTGTGCTGGCAAACCTAAACTGCAGAAAAGTTAGAATCATAGAATAGCTAGGGTTGGAAAGGACCTTAAGATCATCTAGTTCCAACCCCCCTGCCACAGGCAGGGACACCTCACACTAAACCATGTCACCCAAGGCTCTGTCCAACCTGGCCTTGAACACTGCCAGGGATGGAGCATTCACAACTTCCTTGGCCAGCCCATTCCAGTGCCTCACCACCCTAACAGTAAAGAATTTCTTCCTTATATCCAATCTAGACTTCCCTTGTTTAAGTTTCAACCCATTACCCCTTGTCCTGTCACTGATGAATAGTCCATCCCCAGCATCCTATAGCCCCCTTTCAGATACTGAAAGGCTGCTATGAGGTCTCCACACAGCCTTCTCTTCTCCAGTCTGAATAGGCCCCAAGTTTCTCAGCCCATCTTCATATGGGAGCTGCTCCAGTCCCCTGATCATCCTCTAAATCACCTCTGGTTGAGAAAATAGGGGCATGGAAGGAGAGGAAGAAGAGAATTCATGGTGCAAATGTTCTTAGTATCCTGATGCATGTCATTTAGAAAATACCTTTTCAAATATGCCCATATTCAAAAGCTGAAAACAGTTAACTAGGAATTTATGCATTGCTTCAGCCCTGCCCTGCCCCCCCCCCCCCCATGACATTTTGTACTGATAAAGCAGGACTATATTTTCAGACAACTTTTGCCTCACAGGGATCAAGCCCCCTCTTCTCCCTTACTCCTCACCACTCCAATTCTGCACTTTGGCAAAGGAAAAAGAAAAAGAAGATCTAGAGCCCCTGAAGTTATTGCTGAAAGTAAACAGACTTGCAATCACAGAGGGAGATATAAGACACACACATAAAACTAATGCATCTTCTTATGACACTGAAAGAAGCATCCTATTTGATCATAAGCAATTTGCTCCATTTTCAGGTACTTCCCCACAGACAAACCCCAGCACTGCTCCAATAAAGCCTTGTATTTTCTGGTCTTGGGGACATCTTTATTAACCCTCTGATGAGCAGGTTCATTCAAGGTTTATGACCTATCACAAGAACTAGTTGTTCTTGGTTAAAGGAGAGGAGGTTCTCTCGGGTGCTTAGGGCACATGCCATTTGCATGCCTCCCTATAAGTAAGTAATAACAGGGCTCAAAAGTTCCCAAAACAAATTTAAAAATAGCAAGGGGAAGCCTTGACTCATAAGTATTACGTGCATATTCCTACAGCTCTTTATTCTACTTCTGCATTTTCTGCTGGAGGTAAGGCCAGAATAGCAGCACGGTTTTCCCAAACTGGGAAACCACATATTAATTCATTTATGCCACCTCTATGGTGGCTGAAAAGCTTGCAGACCCATTTCAACTGTCCTTGTCTTGGTTTTAGCAGGAAGGATGGTTAGGTTTAAAATTTGACCAATACCACTGCACGGTAAAATGGTTGACAACAGAATGACTTTTAGCCCTTAGAAGTAATGCAAGGGTGCAAAACTAAGAACAAGCACATTGGAAACTGCCTCTAGGCAGTCATATGCCTCGAAGCATATCATAACTAGGTATGTTCAATATATCATTTTAGTTTGGCTTCTTGCCCATCAGAAGGAGGAAAAATGGGACAGAACATTCTACTTCTGTAAGCATGAACAAATGCACAAGGCTCTCCTCAGGAAAAGAAGAAAACTATTATTTTACACTCTCCCTTTATATAGATTTATATGTATACTAAATGTATTTATATATATTTATATAGATTGATGAGATCTTCCTGAGCCTTTTCTTCTCCAGGCTGAACAGACCCAGATTTCTCAGCCATTCCTCATAAGAAGACTGGTACACCCTCCACTCCCTTGATCACCTTAGTGACTCTTTGGTGGACTCTCTCCAGTGTGTTCCATGTCTCTCTTGTACTGGGGAGTGCAGAACTTGACACAGTACTCCAGGTGTGACTTCACCAGTAGAGGGGAAGGATCACCTTCCTTGATGGGCTGGCAATGCTTTGCCTAATGCAGCCCAGGATACCTTTAGCCACCTTTGCCGCAAGGGCACATTGTTGGCTCATGTTCAACTTGATATCCAGAAGAACCCAGGTCATTTTCTGTAAAGCTCTTTCCAGCATGTGCTGGTACATCAATTCATACACAGTCGTTTTATTTTAAGAGTTAAGGACCGCAAGAAAGTTGTGACACATGTTTTGCATATTAAGCAGGAATAATTTCATATTTGGCATGAAATCCTAGACACATTAATAAGGGTTAGCAGGGTCTGATAACAATGAGCAATAGGAAAGGAAACTGACTTCTGGGGTACTTACGGCCAAATAGATAAGCCAGACTAAAGACATGAGACAATAA